AGTCTGGCCAATGTTCTAGTTAGAAATAAAATGGCGACCATATATATAGTGAGTGACGACCAGTGTTTTGAATATTAAATATATATATCATTTAATTATTGATATATTTTGAAAAGGTTGTCTATTAAAAGGTAAGACAATTTTTGTTATTTGATTATTTTCTAAAAAATATAAAATATTAGAAAATTTAAATATGAATATAGTATGCAAATCAATAAAACTATGTTATAACCTTAATTCTTGAATAAATTTTTTAATTAATTAATTTTTTCAGAAAATGACTTTTTGCTGCGTTCCTCATTGTCGCAATAAAAGTGAGGATGGCATTTCGATGAGGCATTTTCCAAAAAATGCTGAACGCCGAGCATTATGGGCCCAAAAAGTAAATAGAAAAAATTGGGAACCTAATGATTATTCGTGTATTTGTGATGTAAGTATATATTTACATAATTAATAATATAAAATTTTTGAAAGAAATCTTTATATCTGTATTAATAGGTTCACTTTTCATCAGAAATGTGGGAGAAACCTCGTGTCGATGGCAAAAAAAATTAAAGGCTAATTCTGTACCAACAATTTTTCCTCTACCGAAACATAGAGAGCCAGGGTTTTTGTCAAGTAAATATTAGGTACCGCGGAAAGTTTGTGTCGTTTTTCTAAGAGATGTCGTTCATCGGAAAAAACGACACGAACTTTCCGCGGTACCTAATATTTATTTGATTAAATGTCTTATTTTTCAGAATCTAATTTGTTAATATAATAATAAAAAATATTTTTATGTTCGTAGATGAATATTGACAAAGAGGTTCAAGATTCTTTTAATACTTCTGTAGTATCTATGAATGATACTTTTTGTGTACCATTGGAATCTTCTGCACCATTGGAGTCTTCTGCACCATTGGAGTCTTCTAATACAATTAATTTAACTTCAGTATCCACAATATCCAGTCCACTGGACCCTGTTTATTAAAAAATTGAAGAATTAAAACAGCAATTAAAGAAAGCTAGAAAATGAAATTAGAGAT